CATTACAGAGGAGGTCCTTTGAGGATTAAAACACTATTAAATATTGACAATGTGACTTCATATCCACTAAATTTGGATTTAATTAGATTTAACAACCATCTTTTGCTGATGCGGGGTACCATATTTGTTTGGTTTTAAGGTATGTTTGATTATTAAACATACACTATGAATCAGAAACTCGTAATTGAAAATGAAATGGAAAAATACAGTCTTGTATCTCTGTGCTAATTGTTGTATTTGTATAAAAAGCTCTTTCTTGTTGCTCAGGATCCTCATCCTGAATGTGCTCCTGTGGTGATTTTATATCATATAACCCATCAAAAAAAATAAAACTACTTTTACTTAGCTCATGTTTGTAGCTAGCAGAGCAATATGACTGAAAGAGATGTTTGGATTTCAGTGGACAAAACCTTTGTTCACATGTGGTTGAGATCTAATTTGTACATTTCATCCAGCAAGCAAACAAGTTGTGCAACATCGCCTCCAGCATCAGTCCAGCAAATATTGGAGCAATGGAAATTTTGCCCTAATGAGGCCACTGGACGAAAAGTCAGAGTATCACCAAATATGTCCTTACGGGAACAGGAATGACTGAACCAAATTTAATGGAAATCCAGTAGTTGAGATATTTCACTAAAAACTGCTAATGTTCACCTACTGGTGGCGTTTACATTTCTATAGAGCCACACTGCTAAAAAAAACTACATGTAAAATATTCAAAAGCAACATCTCTTTCCACAAAGATTAGCAGGATAAGAAAAAGATTCTGTTCCTCCAATCGTTGATTTTGTCTCTTGGGATAATTTGTTTCATGTTGTTAAAAAATGCTTACAATAAAAAAAAAAGACAACCCCTCCCCACCACACCCCACAGCTGGTGGGTGTGGGCTCCCTCACTGTAGGAGACGTGAACCTACGTCTCCTACAGTGAGGGAGTGTAGCGGTGGCAGGGGGTCGGGTACAGGCTGGGAGCTCTGTACAGTTCTTGTTTCTGAAATTCTCTGAAGGAATTCCAGACTGCTCTAATCCACTCCCGCCCAGTAATGCTCCAACAGTACAGGGAGGATTGTGAGACAGTCAGGAGGTATTAAAATGTGACAGGCTGCGTTCACACTGCAAGTCTTAGCGAAAGATCAGATTTTTATTCTTTTGGTTGTTCATATCCTTTTTGAACGTGGCCCATATCAGATTCCAGTGTCCTGAAGTCACATGAATTCTGATACGACTGTTCACACTGAGGTCGCATTGCAATAAAAATCAGACCTGTATCTGATTTGGATCACATATGAATCAGAACTGAAAAGATCAGAGTCCATGTGGTTTTGTTCTGTTCACGCTGTCGTGAAAAAGCAGATGTGAGTCACATATGAGCAAAGAAACTCAGCTTTGGGCCACTTGAATGCAGCCTTCTAACTAAAGCTCCAACTGCTGATCTTTTATCTGTATGAGTATCATAAATCACTGGTTCACAACCTTTAAGCAATGTCTACGTAGTCAACCCTCTCCCCTAGAAACTACATTTTTTTCCTTCTGAACTCAACAAGTGCACTTTGGTTAAGATTAGGGGGAAAATTGTGGTTTTGGTTAGATGTTAAGAAAGTTGCTCCTCATGCTTCAAGTCACTGTAAACCTTTTCAATAATTAACCAAAACCACAATCTTTGCCTGACTTTAATTTCTAGTTGACTTTAGGTAACCTGTTTGTCCTAGTTTCCAGTTTTAATGCTAAGCTAAGCTTCATATTTACTGCACAGACATGAGAGTGGTATGTCTGATTTCACAGCAGCTTCTCTAAAAACAATGCATGTTGTGGTGTTTTTAGGCAGTTTTTGCAATGATTTTTTGGCAGAAAGTGAAAATTGCAGAAATAGTTGTGTTTTGTTTCGTATGAGTCATTTAAAATCAGACCACTAGTAGTTACTAGTAGGTCACAGTAGGGGACCACTATGATTGGTGAAACTCGCAGGAAACTACAGCGTTTGGTCAAATTGTTGGAATCGATTGGAAAAAAATGTCAAGGTTTTGCAGAATTCACTGTTAATTGATGTGAAATCGCAACTTCCTTGAGGGACTGTCTTAAGTTGTCCGTAACACATTTCACTCGTCATTCATTTGATATTAAAGTTGCTTAAAAAGAACATGAATGTGAGAAATGTGAAGAGTTGAATCTGTTATCCCAAACCCAAACCTACACATAACATACAGTATCACTACCACAGAAAATGTCATTTAAAGTGACCTTTATTTTCTCAGCCTCTGTCTTTATAGTTTTTTTTACTCCCGAGTTCATTGTTAGTGTGTTTAGAAGATCCAAGGTTATTGTGGGCCATTAAAATCATTTGTTAACAAGGACTTTGTGTAAAACTGCAGTCAAACCTGCACAAAACATCCATACGTGTCTCATATCACAACGACTTTATTGACTCAATGCCTGTATTCACACACACACAAACTTACAGTAACTGCAGTTACAGTGACCAATTAAGGTTTTGTTGCATCTATTTGTTTCCTGTAAAATTCTGGTAGAAATAAAACATTTCCTAATGTTCTTTTGGCCTCCTGTTTTCTGCTTTTCGTGACTCCTCATTTGGCCAGAGAAACCCCTGAGGCACTGTCTGTCCACATCGGTATGAGACATGTGATTGTGCACCTCAGGGTGAACAGTGGAAGGGTCCATCAATGTGTAGTTCTGTGGACTTGTTTTGTTTGTAGATGTCAGACGAGCCACTTTAATTTCCTCAGTCTTAGGTAAGAAGAGGCTGGACTTTAGATACTGATTGATGTCTGTTCTGGGAGCAGGGAGTCAAACGGGACCTGTGAGACCTTAAGAATGAATTTGTAATATAATAAAGATATATAACAATATAGAAATATAATATATTTTTTGGTATTTGTTATTAGTTGGTGTTTCTGAAATGTTGATTATGGTGATTTTGTTGATGTTTCTGGCCCTGTCCTTCCTCAAGATCAACAATCATGTTTCCATCATCATGTGAATAAAAGAGAAATTCGTAAGTCTTCGTCCAGTAATCAGCACCTGCCTACAGCCCTTGGTGTGCACTTTTCTATATTATATTTGCTTTGAATTGTTTGGAAATCGCCAGCACACAGTGGTTCTTCATGGCATATAGCGACTACAGAATGGAGCACTTAGCAGCTAAAAGAGACAGATATATGGGAACTGTTGGGTCTCTGAAAATCATTTTATAAGGAGTACAGTCTTACTCTGCAGCAAACCTTTAGGAGAAAGCAGTGCTACAGAACTAAAACCCGACTTCGCAGGTGCTAAAGGTTTAGCCCAGCTGCCAGGTCTGTGGCCTCTCTCCTGGGGACAGTGGCAAGTGATCAAATGCTTCCTCACTGGGTCTTTTCCTGGGCTTAGCTGTGCCTCAGGAATGTGCTGGCATGCTGGTGGAACAGTAGGGATTTATCTGTGGTGTCAGCCCCTATCTGGCCTGTTGGTTCGCAGTCCAGTGGACTGCAAAAAAACCCCGCAACCCCAACACACCAGAGCAGGGCCTGATGGGACGGCGGCAGCATCATCTGTGGGATTGCATCACCTCAACAGTCTGAAAGAGCTAATAAATCCAGTTTCCCTTTAAAGCACAGGTCTCAAACTCAAATTGGCATTGGGGAAGGTATTGTCCTTTCATAGGAGAGCCACTTCAAGTAGTAAAAGAAAGTTCAATATTCTGAAAATATTTCCATTACTAACATCATGCTTAACAGAAAACAGCAGTTTCTATACACTTTTAATTCATCTGCTCTCTTCTTAACAACCTTTTGCACACATTTGTGACTACCTTATTCCATTATTTTACACCAAACAAACAAAACAAAAAGTTTTTATTTGTATATGAAGGGATAGTTTAAATTGCCTGATTATACTATATTTGTGACATCTTGTCATGGGCTCGCGGGCCGGCACTTTGAGTCCCCTGCTTTCAAGTAATAGTTTTAATTTCTGGAAATATGCTGTCTGTGTGAATATGAAGCTACAGCCAGGAGACCGTTAGCTTAGCTTAGCAACATATACTGGAAACAGGAAGAAAACAGCTCTGCTCAAAATCAAAAGCTCACTTATTATTGACACTTATTACCTATCTATATTTGTTCAGTGGACTTTAGATTTGCCAAGCGTCTCTGTTTGTTTGCTGCTGTGTTAATGTTTTAAATCTCATATAAACATAATCTTTAAAATGTTTTGTGATATCATCCACTTGGACAATGTTTGACTTCACATGAGTTTCTATTGATAAAGAGGTGAAGGAACATCCTCAGGACAGCCTCAGCAATGGTGCATTTAGACCTGTAAACTGTATTTTACCATCTCTAGATTACAATTTCTCATGCAGAAGGTTAACAGGGAAAAAGTCCTGATGAAATTAGTCACAATCAAGGCACATTCCCAATGTTAAATATCCTTTATTATAACATCAGAGGTTCCTCTTCTGTTTTACAACACTACAGAGAAATAGAAAAACACCAAATACTGCAAATAATTCACTGCAGATGGGGATGGATTGTGTGTCTGGGGTGTTAAACAGTAAGCAGATCAAACTTCATGGTAGGCCATACCTCTAATACACTGCTGCTTACTTGTAGTGCAACTCTAAATATTCTATTTATTCTTCATTAAGAAGCCTTATGTTTGCTTTATATTAAAGCAACGGTGAGTGGTTGATTTGGTATCTGTAATCCTGACATCACTATGGGGATTTAATTACTGCAGGTTATCCTCACTTGATCAGAGAGTGTATGAAGGGGTGGGTGGGCTGTGTGATGTGTCCACAGAAAATGTTCTCCCACCGACAAGCTGAGGAGGGAATGCAAACAGGGATGACTGAGGAGAGGACAATACCACCCACCTCCTCCTCCTCGGCTCACATGACTGCGATTAGAGCAGAGGAGGAGTGTGGTGAGACAGAGAGAGAGAGGGAGAGACGGAGACGCGATGGTGAAGCTACGATGAATGAAACATTTTTCTGATCTTTTTCCGGCGGCACAGATCCACATCCAACGACTCACACTACAGGCTTTGATTGCTGGCTGAGGATTGTCTACTTTTGTGGGGTAATTGAACTTTAAAGTGTCTTTAACATTTGTTGCTTTTTTTTTTAATTTTGATTTCCATGTGCTTTTCTTAGTTTGTTGTGTGTTACATGTGAGTGCTGGTTTATTCGTGATTTACAGTCAGTGGTAACTTAAGTAAAAAAAAAAGCACCACTGTACAATTTTGAGGTACTTAATTGACATTTTGTGCAACTTTATACAAATATGCTACATTTCAAAGGGAAAGATTCAACTTTTTACTTGACTACTTTTATCTGACAACTGTTTGCAGATAAAGATTTCAATGATCAGTGTTAAAATAAAAAAACCCTACCACCCAGCCGCATTACATAATTAGGTTCATAATCAGCTAAAACAGCGGTAGGCCAATGTGTGAACATTGTGGACTGA